CGAGCGTGGGGGCGCTGGGTCTGCTCGTGTGGCCGCCGGCGGTGCTTCGTCGAGGCGGGAGCCGCTCTCTCCACAGGAGCTGCGCGAGTGGTTTGCCCGCCGCTGGAGACGTGCTGCTGAGACTGGGGGTGCTGCTGGGGCTACTGGAGTTGGTCCTGCTGGAGCTGCTGGCGGTACTGGTGCTACTGGAGCTGGAGCTGCTAGGGGTGTTGGCGCTGGTGTTTCTACTGGCGCTGGTGCGTCTGGGGGTGCTAATGAGGCTGTTGGAGCTGACGGTCCTTTTGGAGCTGGTGCTGCTGGAGCTGGAGCTGCTGGGGGTGTTGTCGCTTGTGGTGCTGCTGGCGCTGGTGCTTCTGAGGGTGCTGGAGTTGGCGCTGTTGGAGCTGGAGGTGCTACTGGCGCTGGTGCTCCCGCTGGGGGTACTGGTGCCGTCCTTGCTGGTTCTGGAGGCGCTGAGCGGCCGAGGCCGTACTTCGTTCCGCTCCTGGAGCAGGTTCTTGGTCTCCCGCCCTCTCCTGGTCCTGCTCCTCCCTTAGAGTGTCCACAGCCTCTCCAGTCGCAGTCACAATTACAGCCCGCCTCCCCTCTACCTGCTCTTCTCCCTACACTGGTCCTACTGGAGGTCTTGCTGAGCATCGTGAGCCTGCGTCTCGTCATGCGTCGCCTGTTCGTGCTGCTTGCACTAGTGGTCGTACTGCGCGTCCGCGTCCTCCTGCGGTCCCCGGCACACACCAGATGGCACTGCGTCCTTCCACTGCTCCTCTGCATGTCTCGTTGCCGTCTCCTCCAGAGTCCTCTCTTCCTTCTCTTGCTGACCCAGAGTCTGACTCCCTTCGTGCTGCTAGTCCTTCGGTCACGCGCCTTCTTGCTACTGTTGTCACTGACCCTTCTTTTGAGTCCACTGTTGCGTCTGCCTTAGTTGCTGAGCTTGTCGACTTTGCTGCTCACTGTCGCCTAGACTATGCTGCTAGTCTTGTCGCTGAGTCTGAGTCTGTCTGTCCTCCGTCCGTCGGGGGTGAGTGTGCTCTTAGCACGGACGTCCTTGAGGACAGGCAGGAGGAGTTCCAGTGCTTTGCTGCTGCTTTGCCCCATCTTGTGTCCATGCTGATTGCCCCTAAGGGAGACCCGGATGCACCAGACATCCCGACTCCTCGATCGTACGCTGAGGCGATCGAGGGTCCCTACTCCTCTCAGTGGCAGTCAGCCATGGACGCAGAGATGGCTTCCTGGAAGTCCACAGGCACCTACATCGACGAGGTTCCCCCACCTGGGGCGAACATCGTCAGTGGCATGTGGATTTTCAGGGTGAAGCGGCCGCCGGGTTCTCCGCCTGTCTTCAAGGCGCGTTACGTCGCTCGAGGCTTCAGACAGCGGCAGGGAGTTGACTACTTTCAGACCTTCTCTCCCACCCCGAAGATGACCACTCTTCGGGTGCTGCTGCACATTGCCGCTCACCGCGACTACGAGCTTCACTCTCTTGACTTCAGCACAGCTTTCCTGCAGGGCAGCCTGCACAAGGAGATCTGGCTGCGCCGCCCTCCTGGCTTCACTGGGTCGTTTCCTCCTGGTACCCAGTGGAGCCTCCGGCGGCCAGTCTACGGTCTCCGCCAGGCGCCCCGTGAGTGGCACGACACACTGAGGACTACACTTACGGCTCTTGGGTTTGCTCCTTCTACAGCCGACCCGTCGTTGTTTCTACGCACCGACACCTCTCTGCCGCCGTTCTACATCCTTGTGTACGTCGACGACTTGGTCTTTGCCACTGCTGACACTGCTGGACTCGCCCACGTGAAGTCCGAGCTGCAGAAGAGACACACGTGCACAGACCTGGGTGAACTGCGCAGCTACCTTGGCTTGCAGATCACCCGGGACAGAGCACAGCGCACCATTACCCTGACTCAGTCACACATGGTGCAGCACGTCCTTCAGCGCTTCTGCTTCACGTACTCCTCGCCTCAGGCCACTCCTCTGCCTACTCGCCACTCGCTCTCAGCTCTGCCTTCGGATGTGTCCGTAGAGCCGAGTCGTCCGTACCCAGAGCTTGTTGGCTGCCTCATGTACCTGATGACCTGCACTCGACCTGACCTGGCATACCCTCTTAGCATCTTGGCACGCTATGTCACTCCTGGGAGACACCGACCAGAGCACATGGTTGCAGCAAAGAGGGTGTTGCGCTACGTGTGCAGTACGTCGGGCATGGGGCTAGTGCTTGGAGGGCGACGTCGAATGGTACTCACAGGTCACGCTGACGCTTCTTGGACTGACGACCAGGCTCTGCAGCGGTCGTCACAGGGTTACACCTTCAGCCTTGGCTCCGACTCTGTTTCGTGGCGGTCTACCCGCTCGTCTTCTGTTTTCAGCTCCAGCTGTGAGGCTGAGATCTACGCAGGGGCCATGGCTGCACAGGAGCTACGCTGGCTCACCTACCTGCTGACTGACCTTGGAGAGCCGCCTCGTTCTCCTCCAGTTCTGTACGTAGACAAAAAGGCCATGCTGGCCTTGTGTCGGGAGCATAGACTGGAGCACAGAACGAAGCACATTGCTCTCCGCTACTTCCTGGCTTGTGAGCTGCAGCAGCGTGGTCAGCTCCGCCTCACCTACGTGGCCTCTGAGGCCAACACTGCTCATATCTTCACCAAGGCCCTTCCGCCTTGTGATCATCAGCGCTTCTGTACTTTGCTAGGTCTTGTGCCTACCCGGCCTCACTTGCTCACTTCTTGATCTTGTTTGTACTGTCCTCTTTCTATACTTGCACTTGCTTGTTTACCTTTATATATATGATCTTGTATGTGAACTGGCCTTCTGGCCTTACTCTTGTGCTCGGACTGTGTGGTGACTTTGTGATCCACCCTGAGCTTGCTTTGCTTTGCTTGACTGGTCTTGTGACCACTTGTTCTCCCCCACTTTGCCTATGCGGGTGTGTCAGAACATTATAGCTTATACATTTGTGTAGGCTGTATTGGGGTAGCCCATAAGGGGTACAACCTAATTAGGGTTAGTACTTGTACCCAACTTTTTCATAGTTCAATCATTCTCTCGTTCTCATCTTCACAGAAAAAACGCGACAGCAACTGCAGCGGTATTACTACTGGCCGGAGCTGTTGACCAACGTGCAGCAGCACGTGGGCTCTTGCCCCACGTGTCAGGTGATGAAAAGCTCGAGGAAGCGGAAGGCGGGTCAATTGCAGCCGACACCACCGCCCGAGCGCGCCTGGCAACAGGTTACCATGGACTTCGTCACAGGGTTACCTTCAAACCCTGGGGGTAACGACGCGGTGATGGTCGCCGTTGAGAGGTTGACGAAGATGGCACACTTCGCTGCGTGCAAAAAGTCTATCTCAGCCGAGGAGACCGCTCGTCTGTTCATCGCAGCCGTTGTTCGCCTGCACGGGATACCATCAGCGATTATCAGCGACAGGGACACGAAGTTTACTAGCAACTTCTGGAAAAATCTCTAGGAGCAGTTCGGGACCAGGCTACAGTTCAGTTCGTCGTACCACCCCAAGACCAACGGTCAAACGGAGCGGACGAATCAGACGATGGAGCAGTTGATTCGTCCCACGTGCGACGACCCCATGACTTGGGAGCAGCAGCTGCCGCTGATCGAGTTCGCGTACAACAATGCCACGTTAGCGACGACGCAGCAGTCCTCCTTCTACCTGAACTACGGGCAAAATCCTACAGTCTCCATGACGCCGAGTCCGGACAACCCAACACCACGTGCACAGCAATTCGCTGAAATTCTGCAAGCTGCCCGCACCAGAGCCGCAGAAGCAATTAAAAAAGCAAACGTCATCGCTAAGCGCAACGCTGACCGCCACCGCCCCCCAGTCACATACCAGTCAGGGGATTACGTACCGCTCGACACGCAAAACTTGCGACTGCCCGACATACCAAAACTTCGACCGCGCTACTGTGGCCCATTCCAAATCAGCCACATGATCACGCTAGTAACCGCGCACCTATTGTTACCGACCGACTGGTACATCAGCCCTTCGTTCCACGTCAGCTTGCTTCGCCCATACATCCCAACCACAAGCCAACTGCCTCGCCACCGCCCGCCATCCATGACTCGCCCTGCATCGGAGTCGATCATCGCGCCCGAAAAAATCCTGAGCCATCGGATTCGACACCCCACGGGAATCAAGAGGATTGAATTCCTCGTTCGCTGGAAGGATCACACGCCAACTGAGGACAGCTGGGTGCCCCTCGCCAACATCGAAAACCACCCTGCCCTGCAAGTGTACCTGAGGAGCCGGGGCTTCCGCGATATACACGCACTCGCGTAGCGGAGGGGGCTTCTTGAGGGGGGGGGGGGGGGGGGGTAGTGTAAGGAATTTTCTCGATATTCCTTAGCGCACCCTGCAACATCGCGTACAGCAGCAGCCGTTGTTCGCCCGTTACTGCTAACGGGGCTTCGCCGACTTCGCGCGCACTGTTTCACCAAACCTCGCACTGCTGGCCTGGCCATGTCGGCCTACGCTTCGGGACTAGCCCGAGCCTAGCTTCCAGCGTAGCACTAGCTAGCTCGCACGCACCGCGTTACCGTTTGCATGTTTCGCATATAAATGTTCGCTCATGCCTTCGCCCACATTTTGTACTCGTTTGACACCTTAGTGCAATTCTCGCTACTTAGATTCATTGCACCCGTAACAAATCTACAGAACAGCCAAGCCACCACCATGACCAGCCTCCAGCCCCTTGGGATGGGATCCTCCTAACGAATTCCCAACTTCCCGCCTCCTACCCACCGAGTGAATCCTCGCAATTCCCAAAACCTTCTAGTGTTTCGAATGTAGTCTAGTCAAACGTAGGAAGAGAGTTGACTGCCACGAACGGAGGTGAGGAGAGACTTAGACTGCAACGACACAGGCTGTGGCGAAATAGTCTCCGACGACACAACCTGCGACGAAACTGCGACGAGACAGGCTCGGACGAGGCGAGTCGCGACGAGACAGGCTGCGACGAAACGGGCTGCGACGAAACGGGCTGCGACGAGCATGGAGAACGGAGAGGGGAGCTCAAGAGCTTGGATGGAGGGGGGTAGCGAGGAAGAGGTCCGATGTAGCGCGCTGGATCTTATAAAGCGGATGGAGGAGGACGGTTCGTGGAAACTACCGTCGGAGCGCAGAATACAGGTTGGTTAGGTCGAATCGAACACGTGGTCGTCCGTGGCGTTCCCGTTGAAATGAGCGGGAAGCGAACACACGAAAGCGGTTTCCAGCCTTCACTCTGCGTCTGCTGGCGATCCTCTCAGAGCGACTGTCACTATTGTCGCCATTGTTGCTATTGTCGTTATGGTTGTTCGTGGTGGTTGAAGGCTGCTTCAGATGAACGCGGATGCACACTTTTCGTAGTGCTCATGTATACCCAGTTGCGAGAACTCGTTGCGTCTCATACCTGACTCGTTGCGACTGGCGACCGAAACGGTTCAGAACCGCACTAGGAGCGATCAACCTGATGAGACGATGCTGGAGTCTCACCTTTATCCTCCATTCCCGTTTGCCCACAATTCCCGATGCTCCCCTCCCACCCCACGTCATCCTCGTCTGCCTCCGTCAGGTGCCGCACGTGAGGCAGCAGCACTCGTGGGACTGTGGCGTGGCGTGCGTGCTCATGGTGCTCAAGGCGCTCCAAGTCCCCATCCACCCCGTCCAAACCGAGCCCATGCAAAGCATCCCGGCCGTCCATTCGCTACAGCCAATCAGAGCATCTCCTGGTATGCCTGATGCTACATCCGGAACTAGATCCTCAAGATCAAACGTGGATCGTCCAGCAGCACATTCAGCTACAGCCGTGATCCAAGGTCCTGCTACAGCTGTACTTGATGCCCCTGCTACAGCCGCATCCCCTGCTCTTGTAGCCAGAGCTACAGATACAGGCACCGACCCAGCTACAGCTGCTGCTACAGCCTTTGCCACGCCCCCTCCCAGCAGCGCAGCCACTGGCGTAGCAACCGACAGATTTTCAGCAGCCGTCGCTCAGCCCGCCATATCCCCGCTAGCAGCAGACTCCTTTGCGTTAGAAGCACCACACGAGGAGCTTTCCTTGGACACGTCAGCCCAGGCGCTTCAGGGAGACGAAGTGGGCGGAGGGGATGATGCGGTGGCAGAGAGAGCTGCTGTGGAGCGTACCTGCCCGTCCGAAAGGGAGTCTGCGCGTGTAGCAGAGGGTGCTGACGCCATGTGGCACTCTCTGGAACCAGCAGCGGGTGCAGGGGATGTGGGAGAGGGTGTCAATGGGTGCACATGGATGCGCACAGCAGATGCCACAGGGGTTGCCGCAGCGGGGCCGGTGAGGAGAGGGTCGGCGAGGGGCCGTGGCTGTGCGGTGCGAGGTGGTGAAGAGGGGTGTGACGCCGTACCCGACACGACACGAGACATGCGAGCAGTAGCATGTGCAATTGCGGGTGCAGGGAGGGGGAGGGCCGGGGGGAGCAGGGAGGCATGTGAGCTGCAGCATCTGCACCGCCAGTGCGGCACCACCAGGTGGGTCTGATTGAAAATCTCTTCCAGGTAGGGATTGGCGGCATTGGTTGGCATGGCATGACACATGATATGGCATGGCATGACATGTTGGGTGTTTTGCACTGCATCGCATGTGTGGCATGCTCTGTGGTCTAAGCATGATGCCACACACAACACAATGACAGGATGACGTGACAACAAGCATATCCCGTCTGCCTACCCTCCAACCCAACCCCTCCCTTTCCCTGCTCCTTCCCCCTCTCCCACTCCCCTACCCCACCCTCCTACTTTTTCCACAACGAATTGCTCGTTTTCGACATAACTCCTTACCGCCTTGCTCCTCCCCCTCCACCCAGCCCAGTATGTCCCCACCATCCCTCTCACCTCTCACCTCTCTCCTCACACCCCGTGTGCCCTGCGCCCTGGACCCTCTTTTCTCTGCTCCCTGCCCCCTCCACCCTGCGCTCTGCGGGCCAACCATGGGCAGTGTGTGGAGCATAGACCTGGTGGCGCTGCTGCAGCGCCACGGCGTGGGGGTGGAGTTCCTCACCGTCACCATCGGCGCCAACCCCTCCTTCGCCCACCAGCCCTTCTACAAGGTGCGCCCTTCTACAAGGAGCCAACCTCTCTGCCCTCCACTGTATATGCTGTGCCGTACCCTGCCCTCCACTCCACGACTCGAGCTTTAGACACAAGCATCAATACAAGTGTTTCACTGTTTCTCGCACACTCACTGTTGTCGTTCTGTCTCCGACCTCCCCCCCCACCCGTACAGGAGAGTAACATGGTGTGGACAGGGTCAATCGTCTCTGTGCGGACTCTCATTAGACAAACCTCTATCTGTGGGTTTCCACTATTGCCACTCACCTCACCTCCGCTCCCGCGTCCCCCCCTCACTCCAGGAGAACATCCCAGGGGACGTGGACAAGGTCGATCCTCTTTGTTCGATCCACTGTTTCGACTCACCTCTTTGTCCCACCCCCACGCCCACCGCCACGGCCGTGCAGGAGAACATGCCCGGGGATGTGGACAGGGTCAATCGCCTCTTTGCCGACACCATACGAGCCGGCGTGCGCATTCAGGTGCGAGGGGGTCGCTTGCTGAGGGGGTCGCTTGCTGAGGGGGTCGCTTGCTGAGGGGGTAGGAAAGCGAAGTGTGCATGCCTGTGGCTGATGGTTCTTATATGCCTGCAAGGTCAATTGGTGTGTCCAGACCAGGGTCTTTCGCCCCATCTGTCCCGCTTCCCTTCTGCCCTCCTCCCCCCTCCCTTCCTCCCCCCATCCCTTCCTGCCCTCCTCCCCTCCTCCCTCCTCCCGTCATGCCCTCCCACCCTCCGCACTGCCAAGCCTCCCTCTCTTCTCGTGCATCTGCAAGCCGGGTTCTGAAATTTTGCTGTTATCCCTTTTTTTCATTTCAGTTTTCTAGAGCAAGTGTACTTGCTGCTCTCTGCCTTATTCTCCCCGGCTTGTTTCTCTCGCTTCATCCCAGTACATGATGTTTACTTGTTCAATCCCCGTATTTCTCTCCACTCCCTCTTGTTTCATCTCACCCCACCAAACCTACCTCACACCACACCGCACCTCACCGCACCGCACCACCCGCAGTGTGCGTCCATAGGCATTCAGCATCTTGCCTGGCTGCTTCTCTCGGGTCGTTACCTCATCATTGCCCTCGTGGATAAGCGCAGCATCACGTGAGTCACTTGATCCCTGCTTCAGATGTGCTGCTATTCCACTCATACATTGGCTTCACATGTGCTGCTATTCCACTCATACATTGGCTTCACATGTGCTGCTATTCCACTCATACATTGGCTTCACATGTGCTGCTATTCCACTCATACATTGGCTTCACATGTGCTGCTATTCCACTCATACATTGGCTTCACATGTGCTGCTATTCCACTCATACATTGGCTTCACATGTGCTGCTATTCCACTCATACATTGGCTTCACATGTGCTGCTATTCCACTCATACATTGGCTTCACATGTGCTGCTATTCCACTCATACATTGGCTTCACATGTGCTGCTATTCCACTCATACATTGGCTTCACATGTGCTGCTATTCCACTCATACATTGGCTTCACATGTGCTGCTATTCCACTCATACATTGGCTTCACATGTGCTGCTATTCCACTCATACATTGGCTTCACATGTGCTGCTATTCCACTCATACATTGGCTTCACATGTGCTGCTATTCCACTCATACATTGGCTTCACATGTGCTGCTATTCCACTCATACATTGGCTTCACATGTGCTGCTATTCCACTCATACATTGGCTTCACATGTGCTGCTATTCCACTCATACATTGGCTTCACATGTGCTGCTATTCCACTCATACATTGGCTTCACATGTGCTGCTATTCAACTCATACATTGGCTTCACATGTGCTGCTATTCCACTCATACATTGGCTTCAGATGTGCTGCTATTCCACTCATACATTGGCTTCACATGTGCTGCTATTCCACTCATACATTGGCTTCACATGTGCTGCTATTCCACTCATACATTGGCTTCACATGTGCTGCTATTCCACTCATACATTGGCTTCACATGTGCTGCTATTCCACTCATACATTGGCTTCACATGTGCTGCTATTCCACTCATACATTGGCTTCACATGTGCTGCTATTCCACTCATACATTGGCTTCACATGTGCTGCTATTCAACTCATACATTGGCTTCACATGTGCTGCTATTCCACTCATACATTGGCTTCACATGTGCTGCTATTCCACTCATACATTGGCTTCACATGTGCTGCTATTCCACTCATACATTGGCTTCACATGTGCTGCTATTCCACTCATACATTGGCTTCACATGTGCTGCTATTCCACTCATACATTGGCTTCACATGTGCTGCTATTCCACTCATACATTGGCTTCACATGTGCTGCTATTCCACTCATACATTGGCTTCACATGTGCTGCTATTCCACTCATACATTGGCTTCACATGTGCTGCTATTCCACTCATACATTGGCTTCACATGTGCTGCTATTCCACTCATACATTGGCTTCACATGTGCTGCTATTCCACTCATACATTGGCTTCACATGTGCTGCTATTCCACTCATACATTGGCTTCACATGTGCTGCTATTCCACTCATACATTGGCTTCACATGTGCTGCTATTCAACTCATACATTGGCTTCACATGTGCTGCTATTCCACTCATACATTGGCTTCACATGTGCTGCTATTCCACTCATACATTGGCTTCACATGTGCTGCTATTCCACTCATACATTGGCTTCACATGTGCTGCTATACCGCTCTCCACTGCGCCGTGGCGCCGTGTGGGGGCCGGCTTTGTTTCTTCTGCTGTCAATCAGTGGCATGCACTCTGCACGCCGCAGCAGGCAGCAGCACTAGCCGTAACAGCATTCATCGTGTTGCACCCACCCCTCATGTGATTTCCATCCCCATGCTCGCCTCCCCATGCTCGCCTCCCCATGCTCGCCCATTCCATGCCTCCGCCCATTGCTCCCACGCAGCCATCCACTGGCATCAGAGCGATGCCCTCCTGAGTGCTGCGGACCCACTCCGGGCTACATTGGTGAGAGCTGCTGGGTGCTGCTGGGTGTGGCTGGGTGCTGCTGGGTGTGTGTGGCTGGGTGCTGCTAGGTGCTGCTGGGTGTGGCTGGGTGCTGCTGGGTGCTAGGGATGGGTGGTATCGTCCTGGTGCGTGCAGGTTGGATTGGTGAGAGCTAGCGGCATCAGCGCACTGATGCCGCCAGCTCCCTTCTGGGAAATGTGGCACATGTCCCAGTCCCTTCTCCTCCCTCGTGCCCCCATCTTCCACTCCTCTCTTGTCTCAAATCCTTTGCCCTGCTTCCTCATCCCACCTGCTCTCTCCGTCTTCTCCATCCTGTCCTCCCATCCTTGCCTCGTATAACCCCACAGCTCGCATGATCTTTGTCCCCACAGCTCGCATGATCTTTGTCCCCACAGCTCGCATGATCTTTGTCCCCACAGCTCGCATGATCTTTGTCCCCACAGCTCGCATGATCTTTGTCCCCACAGCTCGCATGATCTTTGTCCCCACAGCTCGCATGATCTTTGTCCCCACAGCTCGCATGACCTTTGTCCCCACAGCTCGCATGATCTTTGTCCCCACAGCTCGCATGATCTTTGTCCCCACAGCTCGCATGATCTTTGTCCCCACAGCTCGCATGATCTTTGTCCCCACAGCTCGCATGATCTTTGTCCCCACAGCTCGCATGATCTTTGTCCCCACAGCTCGCATGACCTTTGTCCTCACAGCTCGCATGACCTTTGTCCTCACAGCTCGCATGATCTTTGTCCCATCCCCATGCCTCTCATGCCCTCTCGACAATGTCCGACCGCCCTGCTCGTGTCTTGATTCGCCTTCCCTTGCCGGCACCTGCAGGTCACTTTGTGGTGCTCTGTGGGTTTGACGGCCACTCGAGGATGTTCCAGATCTGCGACCCCTCCTCGCATGGGCATGGGTATGTGCTGTGCTCCCTCTCTCCTCGCATGGGCATGGGTATGTGCTGTGCTCCCTCTCTCCTCGCATGGGTATGTGCTGTGCTCCCTCTCTCCTCGCATGGGTATGTGCTGTGCTCCCTCTCTCCTCGCATGGGTATGTGCTGTGCTCCCTCTCTCCTCGCATGGGCATGGGTATGTGCTGTGCTCCCTCTCTCCTCGCATGGGTATGTGCTGTGCTCCCTCTCTCCTCGCATGGGTATGTGCTGTGCTCCCTCTCTCCTCGCATGGGCATGGGTATGTGCTGTGCTCCCTCTCTCCTCGCATGGGTATGTGCTGTGCTCCCTCTCTCCTCGCATGGGTATGTGCTGTGCTCCCTCTCTCCTCGCATGGGTATGTGCTGTGCTCCCTCTCTCCTCGCATGGGTATGTGCTGTGCTCCCTCTCTCCTCGCATGGGTATGTGCTGTGCTCCCTCTCTCCTCGCATGGGCATGTGTATGTGCTGTGCTCCCTCTCTCCTCGCATGGGTATGTGCTGTGCTCCCTCTCTCCTCGCATGGGTATGTGCTGTGCTCCTTCTCTCCTCGCATGGGTATGTGCTCCCTCTCTCCTCGCATGGGTATGTGCTCCCTCTCTCCTCGCATGGGTATGTGCTCCCTCTCTCCGCTCATGAGTGCTCTTGTCCCTACACCACTTGGTATCACACGGGTTTTTGTCACATAAAACCCTTTCGTTCTTATCGACTTACCCACAGCCACCACTCATTCTTTTCTTCTTCCCGAACTTTTTCCCCTTCTTCTCTTTGCCTCTATTTTGTCGTCTTCCTGTCTTGTCGTTCCCTCTCATTTTTCTTCCCTCTCTTTTGATTGTTCTCCTCCTTCCCTATCTTATTTCCTTCCCTTCACTTCTTCTTCTTTCCTCTCGTTTCTTCTTCTCTCTGTTCCTGCACTTTTCTTCTCCCGGCTTCTTTCCACCGTCCCTCCCTTTTCATGCCTCACCCCACCAGTGGCACATCGTGGGTGCCGATGGCAGCAGTGGAGGATGCACGCATGACGTTCGGCACCGACCAGGATCTGATCCTGGTGAGCACAAATGGAATCTGGTGAGCAGGCTCGGAATCTGGTGAGCAGGCTCGGATTTTGGTGAGCAGGCTCGGATCTGGTGAGGCTCGGATTCTGGTGAGTAGGCTCGGAGTCTGGTGAGCAGGCTCGGATTCTGGTCAGCAGGCTCGGATTCTGGTGAGTAGGAGCAGGATCCAATTCTGGTGAGCAGGGGTGTGGTGCATGAAGGGGAGACATGGGAAAATACATGTGGGTGGGTCATGGCGAAGTGTGGGGGGAGAAGATGAACATGTGCCTGGTAGGAGGATTGCATGTGGTGCTGCCGTGCTTAGCATAGGTGTAACTCGTTGTTGTGGTTGAGGAAAGCGCTTTGTAGTCATTCTGTTATGAAGTTCACGAATCTGCTGAGCTGATTGTGTGTGGCAGATTCAACTTCCAGTTTCACCAGGGGGCGTCAAGATGAGCAGTGTACTCGCAAATAACGAGGCAGGAGGAGTGTGTTGCTAACATTCCAAGCCACTTCCAGGAGCAGGGTTGGGTAGATAGATTCACTACGTTAGGTTACAACAATATAGCTTAGCAACTCAAGATGAAGGCATAATGTCAGATGTGCCGGCCGGTGTACTGTTATGTGACACGTTTAGAAAAGTCCAACTGTATTGCTTATGGTTTCAACCCTGTTCTCGTTATTAAATTCGATGTATGGTACATGCGTTGTATTGGGTAGTACGGTTGCTCTAAGAGTGTTTAGGAGCAGTTTTGGGGTAAGTACAGAAAGACAGTAGGGAAAATATTTCAATGGTAACTTACATGGGGCACTATAACGTGTACGGTAACGATTTCAACACATTTGGTAACTCCGCTAACGCGTTTGGTAACTCGCATAACACGTTTGGTAACTCGCTTAACGCGTATGGTAACTATACACTAGCAGCCCATCACGTGAATGGTAACTACATGAAACTCCCGCCGAAACGATCCTGACAAAGAAGGGATTTATCAATTGTGAAAGCGTTTACGCACAGTTTTATCATTCTTGAACAAGTCCCGCCGCGACTTTGAAGGACCTCGTTTGTTATACCGTATCCCCCCGGATATACCCCCATGGGGGGCAATAATAAAACAGGTTTTTTCATGGGGGTGGGCTTATAATCGAGTAAATTTATAAGCGCCGGCGTTTATAAAATGACATACATATTTTTTATATCTTTTAACACCAAACTGTAGGTCTCGTGCTTGCCTTTTCAATCGAGTCGAAGTTACATGGGATCGTCTGTGAAATTCACGCGCGCGCTGGGAGATACACCCAATCTGACTCACATCCAGCTCCTGATAGGTCCTGCTGACTGGACCCGCATCCAGTGCAGGGTCCGAATGTGAAGGGAACCGAATCTGCAACATATCCGCCTGCTAAAGTAAAAATCGTTACAGCTTTTTGAACACATTTCAAATTTTAAAGTTTACGTGCGCTTATAATAAAACAAGTTTTTTCAAGGGGTGCGCTTATAATCGAGGAGGGGATATAAGCGCCATATGCCAATTAGAAGCGCCAGGCGCTTATCCTAGGGTGGCGCTTATATCCGGGGGGAGACGGTATTACCATGGACAGAAAAGTTTCAGAGGCGTTTTATATGTATATGTAGCAAGTGCAAAGACGGTTAAAATCATATTTTTTTATAGCATCATTACGAACTTGCAAAATGATAAAAACATTTCCCGAGAGAACCTCGGGGCTTTACTTTTTGTAATAACTGCAATGTTGGAGAATTTTTGCATATGGGAAAAAATACAGCTATTGAGAATTACATGTTTTATTTGAAAAAAAAACCATAAACTGTGAGATTTGTAGAACAGGAATGTGTGGACTATGAATGAAGGCAGTACAAATATGAAACCCTAACTGGGTTGTACCCCCTATGGGATACCCCACTACAGCCTACACTATAGTATAAGCTATAGATATGTTCTGACACACCCCCATAGGCAAAGTGGGGGAGAACAAGGGGTCACAAGACCAGTCAAGCAAAGCAAAGCAAAGCAAGCTCGGGGTGGATCACAAAGTCACCACACAGTCCGAGCACAAGAGCAGGGCCAGAGGCCAGTTCACATGCAGGAGTACAGACATATATATATATAAAACTAGACAAGCAAGAGCAGGTATATATATATGTCACAGTACAAGTAAAGTCAAGAGGAGAGCAAGTGAGGCAAGACAGGCACAAGACCCAGCTGGGTGCAGAAGCGCTGATGGTCACAAGGCGCGAGTGCCTTGGTGAACACATCAGCAGTGTTGGCCTCAGAGGCCACGTACGCAAGCCGCAACTGTCCACGCTGCTGTAGCTCACGAGCAAGGAAGTAGCGAAGAGCAATGTGCTTCGTTCTGTGCTCCAGACGCTGCATGGCCTTGTTGTCTACGTACAGCACTGGAGGAGAACGAGGCGGCTCTCCAAGGTCAGTCAGCAGGTAGGTGAGCCAGCGAAGCTCCTGTGCAGCCATGGCCCCCGCGTAGATCTCAGCCTCACAACTGGAGCTGAGAACCGAAGACGAGCGAGTAGCCCGCCACGAGACAGAGCCGGAACCAAGACTGAAGGTGTAACCCTGTGACGACCGCTGCGTAGCCTGGTCGTCAGCCCAAGAAGCGTCCGCGTGCCCTGTACGGACCACTGGACTCCGCCCTCCAAGCACTAGCCCCATGCCTGACGTACTGCACAGGTAGCGCAATACCCTCTTTGCTGCAGCCATGTGCTCTGGTCGGTGTCTCCCAGGAGCAACATAGCGTGCAAGAATGCTCAGAGGGTATGCAAGGTCAGGCCGTGTGCAGGTCATCAGGCACATGAGGCAGCCAACAAGCTCTGGGTACGGGCCACTCGACTCTACGGACTCATCCGAAGGCAGAGCTGAGAGCGAGTGGCGAGTAGACAGAGGAGTGGCCTGAGGCGAGGAGTACGTGAAGCCGAAGCGCTGAAGGACCTGCTGCACCATGTGTGACTGAGTCAAGGTAATGGTGCGGCGTGCTCTGTCCCGAGTGATCTGCAAGCCAAGGTAGCTGCGCATTTCACCCAAGTCTGTGCACGTGTGTCTCTTCAGCAGCTCGGACTTCACGTAGGCGAGTCCAGCAGTGTCCGCTGTGGCAAAGACCAAGTCGTCGACGTACACGAGGATGTAGAACGGCGGCAGAGAAGTGTCGGTGCGCAGAAACAGCGACGGGTCAGCAGTAGAAGGAGCAAACCCAAGAGCCGCAAGCGTAGTCCTCAGTGTGTCGTGCCACTCACGCGGTGCCTGGCGGAGACCGTAGACTGGCCGTCGGAGGCTCCACTGGGTGCCAGGAGGGAAAGTCCCAGTGAAGCCAGGTGGACGGCGCAGCCAGATCTCCTCGTGCAGGCTACCCTGCAGGAACGCAGTGCTGAAGTCGAGAGAGTGAAGCTCGTAGTCGCGCTGAGCGGCTATGTGCAGCAGCACCCGAAGAGTGGTCATCTTCGGGGTGGGAGAGAAGGTCTGAAAGTAGTCAACTCCCTGCCGCTGACTGAAGCCACGAGCAACGTACCGCGCCTTGAAGACAGGTGGAGAGCCCGGCGGCCGCTTCACCCTGAAGATCCACATGCCACTGACGATGTTCGCCCCAGGAGGGGGAACTGCGTCAACGTAGGTGCCTGTGGACTTCCAGGAAGCCATCTCTGCATCCATAGCTGCCTGCCACTGAGACGAGTAGGGACCCTCTACGGCCTCCGCGTAAGAGCGCGGAGTCGGGATGTCTAGTGCATCCGGGTCTCCCTCAGGAGCAAGCAGTACAGACGCAAGATGAGGTGAAGCATCAGCCAGACACTGTAACTCCTCCTGCCTGTCCTCTAGGACGTCCGTGCCAAGAGCACACTCACCCCCGACGGACGGAGGACAGACACACGCAGACTCAGCAACAAGGCTAGCAGCGTAGTCTAGACGACAGCGAGCAGCAAAGTCGACGAGCTCAGCGACAAGAGCAGACGCAGCAGTGGACTCAAAAGAGGGGTCAGTGACGACAGTTGCAAGCAGACGCGTGACAGTAGGACTGGCAGCACGAAGAGAGTCCGACTCAGGGTCGGCAAGCGCAAGAAGAGAGGACTCAGGAGGAGAAGGCAAAGGGGCACGCAGAGGAGCAGTGGACGGACGCAGAGACATCCGGTGCGTGCCAGGGACAGGAGGAGGACGCTGACGCGAACCGCGACCACTAGTGCGAGCAGCACGAACAGGCGACGCAGGACGAGACGCAGGCTCACGACGCTCAGCAAGACCTCCAGTAGGACCAGTGTAAGGAGAGGGAGCAGGCAGTGGAGAGGAAGGCTCCAACAGTGACTGTGACTGGACAGGCTGTGAACACTCTACCGGAGGAGAAAGACCAAGAACCTGCTGCAGGAGCGGAACGAAGTACGGTCGAGGCCGCGCGGCAGCTCCAGACTCAGCACGGACAGCACCAGCACCCTCAGCGACAGCACCAGCGCCACCAACACCTCCAGCGGCAGGACCTCCAGCAGCACCAGCAGCAGAACCACCGTCGGGACAGACAGCAGTAGTCTCAGCACCAACACCCTCAGGAGCTCCTGCTCCAGGAGTACGCGCAGGCCCAGCAGCTCCGGGA